AAGTTTTGTCTTCCGAAGAAACCCTTCCACAGTCCATCACCTTACAAGACCTCATCAGATCCCAAAAAATTGTCGTGAGGCGGAGGGGGTGTTGACAACCCAACCACGGAAGGAAATGTACAGCGAAACGGAGAAAAGACAGATCAAAAATATTCCAAAGTTTATCCTACCCCTCCCCCTCTCCTTTGCCTCCAAGAACCAGATACAGTCCCCGCTGAGAATCCCCAACGTACGATGCCTCTTCCCTGAATAGTAGGGTGAGTAGGCGACACTGCGCTCGCGACGTTTTATGAGTTCTCTTCCCCACACCAGTGATACATATGCCGCGCGCGGCGAAGATGCGCGAACGCGACATGACACGTGCCCCCCCCCCCTCCTCAAACAATGTTCGGGTTAACCTGTTAGTGACTCGTGATAGCATGATGACAGCTCTATGACGAGAGCGAGCGATCGTGAGGAAGAACTGCAGATCTTGATAGATCTCTTTGTGAAAGCCACTAGTTTTCTTTTCATTCCATAGGATGTGAGTATGAGCTGTTTGGGGGGGGGGTGAAGGGTTAGTAGCGAAGGGTCACTCTGCGGTGTGACGCTTCATTGGAAAAGCTGCGGAGTTCATTCAAACTTCGCCATGCATAAGGACGTGTGAAAACGCGGGAATGGCGAGATAGCACAAGCCTCGAAGAGGACCAAGACGAATGAAGGAAAGTCAGTCGAATCGATACGGCTGCGCGCGCGATTATGGACGACATCATAATGACCTCTCCCTATACAACGGGTAAAAAAAAGGGGGGGGGGGAGAGATTTCCAAAGGCAAGCACTGACCTGCTCATCCATGAAAAACAGTACCAACATTAACAACGCTAGAATATAGATGGAGACATCTCTGAAAAAGGTCGAGTTGTGCCTATGGTTGACTAAAAGCTGGCTGACAAGCGAACTTACCTAAAAAGCGGCCACCACGTGAGTTGTAGCACCGTTTTCGAGAACAGGGTACAGCAGGCCAACACGCACAGGATATTAAAGGTTGCACTGCCTAAAGTAGTTATGATCATAGCATACAGAGCCCATAAATTTGTGCATTGCATGATTTTTGCAGCGGCGATCTTTTTATAGGACCGCAGAACCGACTATTCGCACCGTCGCGCGATTTTTTCGCACGCCGCGCGCGACAGCTGTAGTTTTGGCAATGCTTCCCGGTGATGTCTATGCTGGGGTTGTTCACACCCTGCCCTCTAGCATTCCCATCCCTTTTTCCGAAACGTTCAGCTCGATCCGGGACTAGGCCCTGTGTGGCTTGGGGGGCACCAAGTGGTTCCTAGCGAAGCCTGCATCGACCATCCCGCAAAGACCCATGTGTTTGTGTGACCATAGCGGCTCACTTGCACCAATTTTCAGCTTCATAAGTATTCAGAACATGAGCTTCTAAAGAGAAATAGAGAACGGGCGAAATGCTTCCCCCTTCCCCCTCCCCCGCGCCAAATTCATTCACGATCATAGGGATATAACATTCAGGGTTGTGAAAAGCGAGGTCCCAAACATATCAGGGCACCTTGTGGGGAAAAAGTTCTCCGAAATGCTCACCCCTCTTGAAATGTCTTCTTCTGGTACGACCTCTCCCATCCTTTCTAGCATCTTCCTTAGATTTTCCCAACTTCCTATAGCCTCCAAAAACTGCTATCGAGCGTAGGGGGGGGGGGTGGGTGAAGTACGAGTGCATAAATAGCACATGTAAAACGAAGTGAGAAAAGTCAACGATTAAGAACCTTTTTCCTCGGAGGCAACTTCAACCCTCCTCCCTCCCGTGACCAAATGGGACCTCTCCCTTGCTGAGGCTTCCCAAAGTAAGACGTGCCTTGGTCCGTGTCAGTCCAGAATCGAACGACACATTGCTGGAGAACCAAAAGCTGAACTCCCTTTGGCGACTTAATGACCCCTTCAACACCAAAAAGAAAATTTTCTCGTGTGATTTTACCATGAATAATTGTATGCATAGGAAATCGCCTACAATTTTCTTATACACGCTCCGAACAATGGCCAGAAAAAAAAATAATTTCAAAAGAGAATTCTAGGCAATTTCCAATGCATGCAATTATTCATGGTAAAATCACACGAGAAAATTTTTTTGGTGTTTGATGGGGG